GGGCGATTAATTGCTATCGCTTCTCTGGGAAGGTCAAAATACCGACTTCCACCTCTCGAAACGCTACTACGATTCTGCATGAAAGTACGACACGGGGTGTGAATCCCAAAAAGCGATTTATTGAAACCTCATTTACCTCCTGGTAAAGCAATTGCTATGATTGGCAAGAACAAACTAAGGGGTAACATGCACACAAGTAGCACTTAGTGATAGACCCAATCCCTGTGAACAGTTGGGTCCGTCTGTGCCATGCCCTCCTAAGGATTTCCGCCCTGAACAATGTCGCGAGGGCTAAACTTGCATTGACATAGGCGTTTTGTTCTTTCTGACAAGTATCATACCATCAACTAGCGCCTCTTATCCTGAGGCATGTCTGACCTCGTCCTGCCTTATGCCTTCTATCAATAGTTCTTATTGTAAGGCAACCCCCTCATCCTTCAAAGACAAAGGACAAATAGTTGGAAGGCGGGGCGGTTTTGATGAGGTCATTGAGCGTGATTGGTGAAAAGACGCCGGAAAGTGGTCCCAATTACATCTCTGCGCGCTGAGGAGTCTTATCCACCAATGGAGTCCGATGACGTCATCAAAACCACTCCGCCTTTCAACAATATATTCACTGCCTTTAAGTGTGCCCATCTAATGAGGAACAAAGGCGGTCTGAAATTCCTTAACACCTTTTAGGTGTATTGAATGAAAGATATAATTGTTGTTTCAGGAAGAGGTACCGAGACTGACTCGTCCACGATCGGAGTCTTTCTGTTCATCATCGCCACCAGTTGAATCTAAACTCTATGAAAAGTCCACTCGTCGGTAAGAACTTACTAACGCTTCCATCGTGCTGTGGAAAAAGGTGTGAAAGTGTGCTCAGTGAAAAAAGTTGGATTTTTAAGAGTATCAGCGCCATGTCTTTCAACTTCTGGTTCCTCCACCGCTTTGAGAAAGAAACTGCAAAAACTACGTGGACAGAAATCAATTGAAAAAGATGAACACGCTTTAAAAGAGCAGTCCGAATCAGAAGACGACTCTCCAAGGCAACAGGCAAGTCCCCTTATAATGATTTCTGTACTGAATTGTCATTTTATTTGCTAAAGATCAGACCAGACTGCAGCAAAATGCTGAATTTTTGACTGGCCATGCCATCATGAATGTCCTCAGATCGACCCCAGCGCGTTCGTGGGGATTTTGTCAACGAGGAGAACGGGTCGTATTAATGGTTTAAGATGGAATAAGGTCGAACTTGGGCACTAGCGGGGTCTTGGTAGTGTGTGAAATATACTTAAAAAGAACGGAGATGTATGTAGTAGTGAGCGCTTCTAGACAGTCTTCATAAGCGCATTTACTGCCAAGCACCAATTCGATCCTACGCGCATTCTGGAGGATTTTTGACAGGATCACCAGGGTTTACGGCCGTTTGAGAGCCATGTGGGAACTGCGTTTAGGGTGGGGGTCTTCAACAAATCTGAAATCGCGCCACGTGACAGCAGACCCGGTCATCCTCAGAGGCGCCGTCGCGTGGAAAGAAGGCTGTCAGCGGCGAGTCACGACGAGATACTGTAGCGCCCCTTTCGCGTGCAAATTAAGATCGTTTAATGTCCACATCGCAAAGCACGCGCCGCGACTCGTTCCGTTGACTCTACCTTTTTGCCGCGCGACGGGCCTCCTGTCGTGTGTCGCAGTAGACCCTACCTAGGCTGGCCTAGGTTGTAATGACCCTTTTAATTTGCAATTTTTCGAGACTTCAATCAAGGAAGGCAGGCTCTGAACTATAGAATTTATTATATATTTTATTTTCGACAAGTTCGTTAGTAACCTGCCAACCATATCATTTTCATTCCAGGCCGGCGAGAAAACACCCAGGCGGCTGTCCACCTACATCCTCTAAGATGAGTACTGTAGGAGAGAACCACTTCCTATCGTGACTCATCGTATGCCATTGTTTTCTCATGTACACGTAGTAGTATTACTGTACAGAGAGATGTTATTCGCTTTATATTTACGCTCCGGGTTGTTCATCCTTCATAAGTGCATATAAGTACCTAATTGGATAATCCAATATTCACTAGAATGCAAATTAGGTTGTTTTTCTACGCGATGTTTGATGTAATCACTGTGAAATTAATTGTAAACTTCATTTATTTGTTAGATCGTCAATATATATGTATATCATATGCTATTATTAGTGATAAAATTGAAGCTCAAAAGAAGGCCACTTTGAGGAGCGGAATGTGTGAGGCGAAGAACAGAGGAATGAGGACACGATACAGGTTGGCAACGATCGACCAGGATCAGCTGAGCTTCCACTGCTGCGGACCTCCCGAGATTTCGACGGCAGTTGGTGGAGCCGATGCCGAACAGCAGCCAGGCAGTCAGTCCTTCGACTTAGGCTGTGTAGTACATCCAGTAGATCAGGTTGCAGAACGTGAAGCTAATTGGGAACAGCTTCTGGCAAAACCTGAAAATGTTGATGTCTCAGAAGAAATAAATTTGGAAGAAATAGAACTCTCAAAAAGTTTAAACGTTCAAAACAAATAACCCACAAATAAACTGCTGAAACTCTCACCCTGACCAAGAAATCCTAACGCGAGTAACGCAGCTTAATCAGGCAATGTGTTAATGGCAGATCAAGTTAAAGGGAATTGTCACGCTGGTAAGGTCGGTGCGGTTTTGATCACGTCACTGAACGCTATTGTGGGATAGGACCCTTAGCACCCGTGGGGTGAGATCGCGACCATCTTCTCAAGCCCTGCCACCACGGACACTCAACGACATCACGAAAACCGGACCGCCTTCCCCAAAAATCACAAACACTGCTTTTGAAAAATCCTGCGAAATTCTAGGAAGAAAGTAGAGAAAGAAGACATTATTACAGAGAAGAGAAGGCGTAGATGGAAGAAAATTGAGAAGAATCTGCCCTAGCTACGTGAAAAGGAGAACTTCAAATTCACCAGTGAGTAGTAGTCGATGAACCTCTGCATTTTAATATCAACACCTTTAAGTTTATCCCTTTGTGGCGATGGTTCTTTTTAGCCCTTAAAACCCTCCGCTTAGGGTTCAACGGCTATGCTGGTGAGAACCACCAATACCTAACAATGATTCGCATATAAGCCTTTATTTAGTCGTGACCGCGACCTGTTTGACACATTCCCTTGCAGTGTTAAAATTCCTGGTCAGTTTTGAGAGCAAATCAAAAACTAAGTATCTAACCTATCCATATCCTCTCCACTCCATTTGTGAAACAATCGTCCAGAAACCAAACGTTTCCGCCGCCGTCTGGATGCCTTTCGCTGGCGGACAAACACCAGCATCTGAATGGAAAAGGTCATGCAACATTTTAATACATTGAAGACCGCGCACATTTGAGGGTCAGA